CTAGAACCTACATTTCTCCGGTGCTTCTGGCTCCGTCCCCCGCCCCTGCCATTCTGTTATTCTCTTCTAGCGCGCTCTGCATAGGAAAAGCTGTTGGCTGAACAGGAGGAGCCTAGAACCAGAGGACGCCCGCGGGGATGTGAGCACCCCGTTAGCCAGCCAGCTCCAAATCAGCACCCATTCCCCCCCCCTACATCTGCAGAGACTTTGGAAATCTGGGGCCAGGGCAGCTCTAGAAGGATCTTCCCTCAATGTCCTGCTTGGCCACAGCATCAGTGCCTGAGCCAGGGCTCCTCTGTCTGGAGAACAAGAACTCCTGGAAGGCCCAGGAGATAGGCTTGGGGCGGGAGGTGTCCATAAACCCTTGTCTTCAAAGGCCGCATGTGGGGTGTCCGTTCCTGTGTGTGTTTTCTGGGGAGAGAGCCCCCAGTTTTCAGCAGGATCCCAAAGGAGTCTGTGAGGGCCCTTAAAGGTAAGACCTGCCACATCTGGATTCTCCCCCACCCCCCACCCCACTCCACTCCCAGCTTCCCCCGCCTTGAACAGCTGACCTCACTCACTTATAAATAGAAACCCTCCCTGGACAGGATGGGTCCAGAGTCTGAGCAACGAGCAGAATCATCACCTGCCCTGTCCTCTGCTGGCCTGAGCAGCAGTCCACTCGGGACCCTGCCTCTCTCTCAGCAGCAGCCCAGAAGACCGCTGGGCCACATGCCCTTCCTCCACCTCTCTCTGTTGTCCCTCTTCTAGAAGATGAAGTTAGCCTCTGTCCTCAGCACCCCGGAGCCAGGAAGGGGGTGATTAGGAAGCCCCTGTGTCCCCAGGACCCTCTCCCCACAATCCCTTTCCTCCTGGAGCTACCTTGCCCCAGGGCAGACCCGGGCAGAGGCAGCCTCTCTTCTGAGCTCCAGCAACTGGCTAGCTATGGCCCGGGATGACCCACAGGTGCCCTGTCTCAAACATCCTGCAGCCCCAATCTGCTCAAGGCCCAGTGCTCCCACCCCAAGCAGGAACCTGGTCTCGTCCTTGTTGCTTCCTTCCCCCACATCTCCAACTGGTGTGGAGTCCTGCAGATCCAGCCACCTGGCAGCTCTCCCCGGCCCTCTTCCCTCCACTTCCAGGGACAGAGATGTGGGAGCTGTGGGACCACTGCAGCAACCCTCCTGTTGGCCTCCCTGCTTCCCGCCTCCCCTCCTTGGCTCCAGAGGACTTTTGATAGAACACAAACCTGCTCGTATCACTGACCTGCTTAAAACCTCTTTGGGGAACCTATCGCCTTCGGGAAAAAATCCAGACTCCTTCCTGCGCCTCTCAGGACCTGGCCCTGAATTTTTTTCCAAACTGGTCTCTTATTTGTCCATCCCAGCCCCCACCCAGTGCCCCACTCATTCGGAACTCCTTACAAATCTCTCAGTTTGGGTGTCCGGTGGTTGGTGCCTTTGACCCTCCCCCATATTGTGCCCTCCACCCCACCCTTCCCTAGCTACACCTCACTCTTCCTTCAGACTCAACTCCCAGATCACGTCCTGCGTGGGGCTCTCCTGGAATCCCTTCCCCACAGGCTGGATCCCGGACTACTCCGCACATCCCTCTCTGAGGGCCTACCGCATCAAGTAAATGTTACCGTCCACTTGTTGGTGACCTCTCTGAAAGGAAGAACACAGTGTCCTAGGCCAGGTGTGTGCACATGTCTCTTCCCAACCGCACATTCAGTGACATCACGTTGCTAGCTTGACGACAGCGTTTACACCATGGTAATTGGCAAACACTATAAACACTACAAATCAGGATGTTTTCCCCCAACTCTGATGTGCAGGAAATGTGTGCGGGATGAATGGATGATGGATGGATGGATGGACGGAAGGTGAGAGAGAGAGAGGGATGGCTAAATTACAGTAGGTTCCTTGCTCCATGTTCTGCCCCCTCACGGATGGGGGGCACACATGTGCTTGCCCTCCATCAGATCACACCTCCGTCCTCAAGTCACACATCCTCAGGTTTGCTCCCTCCTCAGTGTCCTGTCCTTGTCCTCCTCATTAGTCTTTCTGGGAGGAACAGTCCTGCCAGTTCTCACCAGCCAGTGGGTTAAGGGGTGTGGACAGCACGGGACCTACCTGGGGTAGGGCGGGGTACGACAAGATGGGGGCTTCCTCTGCTGGTAGAGAGGGGCAGGAGGGGTGTCACCATCCCCGGCAGGGAAACTGAGGGGTAAGGTAGGTGACAGTGGAAGAGGACAGGCCTGGTAGGGCAGCAGCAAGGGGCAGGAAAGAGGGCTGGGCTCCTTGCTGGGAAGGACACAGCACCAGGATCGATGGATACCATCTCCTCGTTCAGGGCGCTGTGGGGACAACTCCTCACCTGTCGGCATGACGGGCCGCTCTCCCTCGGGTCTCCCCGAGCTCTCTTCCTCCCCTGGCTCCCCCTCCCCTGTCTGGGAGGCCCCATCCAAGCCTGTGTCCCCAGCCCTGCCCTGCATGTCCTCATCTGCATCTGGGTCTCATTCTCTGTCTTCAGCTCCCTTTCCGCATCTCTCTGTCTCTGTCACCCCTCCATCTCTATGCCTCCATCTGTCTCCATCTCCCCCGCCCTATCTCTGTCCCTCCTGTCCCTGCATCTCTGTCCTCCTGTCTTTATGCCCGCCTCTCTCAAGGTCCTCGCCTCGCCCTCTGGGACCCCGTCTCCTGGTCTCCCTCTCCCTCTGCGCCTCCGTCTCCCCCTCTGTGTCTCTGTGTCTCGGCGCCCGCATCTCCGCACTCCCCGGCCTGCCCGCCTCAGCCTGCTCAGATTCCAAGGCGCAGATGGCAGGACGTTCACGCCGCAGTGCCTGCGAGCACAGGGCCACGGCTGCTTCTGGGACTTCTTAGCACCCCTGGCCCCTGAGGCTGCCGGGCGGCAGTCAGTCACTTGCCGGCCTGCTGGGGACTCCCACTCAGCCCTGCGGGGCCTGCAGCCACCAGGGACTGGGACAAACTCCCCCCTGGAGCAGACACCGTAGCACCACGGAGTGGGGACTCCCTGCTGCTGAGGGTTTGGTGGCCGGTGTCCCCTGCTTTCCTCAGGAACTTGGGCCAGGGGACGCTGCAGGCAGCCCTGACCGATCCCCTTTACTTCCTCCCCAAGGGGGTGTCCTTCTTGACGTCTAACTGAAAGGCTTCTTGCTGCCGCCTCAGCGGCCCTCAGTCTCCGTGACTCAGCTTCTTCCCAGCACAGCCGAAGCCTCCACCAGCAGCCTCCGCCAGGGCAGATTGCGGGGTGCAGCCCCTCCGGGGGGAGGGGCATCTGACCTGGGCCAGAACGGGCCGAGGGAGAGGAGGCTCATGTTCAGGGTGATGGGAGGTTAGAGGTGCCACTGCCTGGGTCCCCGCAGCGGAGCAGGCTGCCCCCACCAGCCTGGCAGAGTGGCGCACCTCTCCGCAGGAGGCGCACACGCCCACGCCCCAGGCGCCCAGACCCAACACGCTCACCGCAGTGCCATACTCCCCACCTGCGGGCCCCGCAGCTGCTGTCCTGCCCCCTCCCTGCGCCTCAGCTCCAAGAAGAGGGAATAGGGCAGAGTCACCTGGTGGGGGAGGGCGTGGAGGCGAGAGGAAGGTGTGCTAACATGGGGTGATGGTGACGGAGGAGGGGCCGGGGCTGGGGTGCATCTGGCTGGACAGGGCAGCTGAGTGCGCACGACATGAAAGGCACAGAGGTCAGCGGGGTGGGGGAGGGGGCTCTGATCCCCCTGAAAAGTGAACATCTCACATCAGTTCCAGGCCTGGCTTGGAACTATGCTCCCCAGCCTCGCCCCAGCCCCTTCCCCCCCGCCCCACCCCGACGAGGACCACCTTGCCGCTATGGCCAGCCCCTTCCCCCCAGCTCCTCCGCATCACCGTCCCACCAGGGGCTGGGGAAGTGCATCAGCTCAGCCCTCTACCAGGAGAGCTCAGGTTCTGGCAGCCCGGTCCCCTGCCTGAGCCTCAGGGAGGCAGGAACCCCCAGGAAAGAACACAGAACGGTCTGTGGTGGCAGCACCTCCTGACTACACCCCCCTCCCCGCTTTTCCAAGAATCAGCCAAGGGGGTGACCTAGAAGACCAACCCGGGGCAAGCGGCTACCTTCTGGAAGGAACCCTGTTGGGAGGCCCCATGGGGCCTGCTCTCACCCCCAATCAGTTTGGGGGACTGGGGGCAGTGGGGTCCCCAGGCCACCCTTCGCGTCCTCAGACAGCTCCAGGAGTGAGGACAGCCTCCTCCCGCTCAGCCCAGATCCCATTGCTTGCAGCCTTTGGCCCCACACAACAAGCCTGCTCCCTCTTCCACATGACAGCCCTTCAAGTATTTGAAGACAGCTCGCCTGTCCCCGCTGAGCCTCCTCTTCTCCTGACTAAGCATCCCAGTTCTTAGAACGATTCCTCAAACGCGATGGTTTCAAGTCTCTTCACCATGCTGGGCGTTCTCATCCACCCAGCCGCCCCACTCACAGCAAGGCTCCCGGAATGGAGGCTGGGAGCAGATGGCCTCCCTCCCTACCGGACAGGCCTCAGCTGCACCCAGGCGCAGCCACCAACCCTCTCCTCCTCGCTCCTACCCTGCTCCAGTCAGCCACACCTCCAATTACCGAGTCACGTAAAGGCTGGGGGGGCCCAGGGCTGGGCTGGGGGGATCCCCCAATACTTTCTCTCCCCTCTGTGTCTTCTCCAAAGACCCGAATCTCTTCCAATGACTTGTCCCTCCAGAAAGGCCCTATCCACGCCTGATGCTCACCACTCACTCATCCTTCAAAGCCCACCTCCTCTGAGAAGCCTTCCCAGCTGCCTTGGGCAAGCTCCATACACAGAGACTGAGTGACACTCACTGGTTTTCACCCTCCAGAGTCCCCACACATTGTTGCGTCTCCCTCCTGTCCTCCTCGCTGCCATCAGGCTAGCGGCATGCAGAAGAAACTGGAAACGGGGGTGGGAGGGCAAGAAGGCAGAGGGTCCCCAGCCCCAGGGACTGTGCCCTTGCACACGCCCCTACCTGTTCGTGGTACTCGATGCCCATGCTGAGCGTGTTGACCAGGATAGCAATCATGATTCCCCGGCCAAAGTACTTGCTGTCCACAATCTTCCGGAAAGTGTCACAGATCAGTCTCCAGAAGGCCAGCATGGAGTTGGGCTCCACTTCTAGCCCCAGGCTCCGTCGGTGCCGGTCGTGGGGGTCCCGGGGATCACCGTGCTGGGCGTCTTGAGTGAGCTCATACACCGCCTCGCTGTCTGAGTCAGGCATCTCATGGCCGGCGAGCTCGCCCTGCCCTACCCCTGCCCGGGCGCAGTAGGGGCAGCTGTCTGGGCCACGGGCTCCACTCTCTGCCTTCAGGCAAGGGCTGGAGATCTTGCAAGAGCTTTGGCAGGTGCCTAGGACAGGAGGGGAGAGGTTGGAGGCTCCAAGGTTTCTTACTTGGGGCGGCCCTTCCCTCAAAGTATCTATAAAATGAGTGGGGGAGTGTGGGTTTCTTTCAATGACGGGGTGTGAGGCACTTAGCAGGCCAGGGGCACTGAATGCCCTGCAGCATGGGCAGTCCCGAGCAACAGAATGGCCCCAAATGCCAATAGCGTTCCACTGACAGTCACTGCCAGGGGTCCTAGGGTTTGGCAGGTGGCCTTGATGTCCCCTGAGGTCCTGGGCAGCTCCCCTGTCCGAGGAGCCCTTAGCAAGGAGCCTAGACCAGCTCTCCTTCCCAGGAAAGCCAGCCCCGCACCAACGCTGCTGTGAGGAGCATTTCCCAAGGGATCCTTAAGACACACACACACACACACACACACAGATGTGTGCTCATGTACATCCACACCCAGGCACATACACACGTGCAGTGAACACACACTCGCACGCACACATGTACTACGCACATATACGTACCATTTGCAAACCACTCAGACCTCCACAGCCAAACACGCGTGTGCACAGACACGTGCACGTTATATAATGCACATGTGCCAGGCCTGGGCACACGTGGGCGTGCGTACGGACCAGAGCACCACCCCAGCGTGCACACACACGCAGCTGCACATATCAGACACATGTGTGCACATACACACATGAACACGAAACATGTGCGTGCACGTGCACCCGGACACACCCCGGACACCTTCGTGCACACCCCAGTCCGCACACACTCATGCACACAGTGACCTATCCCAAGACACCATGGCCATTGAAATCTGGCTTGGATCCTAGAGTCTGAGCGCTGGAGGGAGGCTCAGAGAGCTCCCGGGAAAGCACGTCGGGTGAGGTGCAGGCATCTTGCTCAGGGCCCGGGCCCCGGGAAGCACCCAACAAGGTTTCTCCTTCTGACCGCACACGGGAGGGCTCGCCGGCAATGACCACGGCCCCAGCCCTGCCTTCTACACAGGAGGGGACTGAAACATGTGTGTGCATGACTGGCTTCCATTCCACGGCAGGGTGGCCAGAAAGCGGGCGCGGGAGCCCTTCCCAGGGCGTTCTGTGACGGCACCTTCCTGTCCCGGCCCACGTTCCCACATGACATCCTACACATATCCCGCTGCTCCCACGTGCCACATCCTTCCTGAAACCCTGGGCTTCGGCTACAGTGAGTCTGTCTTCGGGGGAGGGCTCGCCGCCCTTGTCTGACGGGGGGTAGGGAGGACACCCACAGGCAGCGAGTGTCTCACTTCCCCTGTGACACCGGGTGTTCCTCCCACCAAACTAGCAGCCCCCTGAGGACTTGCTGCTCTAGGCCCCCAGTCTCCCCGTGGGGAGCCAATGAGACTCATGTTCACAAGAGTCTCCTTAGTGTGGGGCGCGAGGCTGGCCATGGTCACACACCATTTCCCCTCGGGGCCTCGGAGCCAGATGGCCCTGAGTTCACACCTAACCAGGGGCTTAACCTTGAGCCGGCAAGTCAAGCAACCTCTCCAGGCCTCCTTTTTCTCGCCGGTACAACGGGGACGGTAAGAAAGCTTATCATCTAAACTGTTGAGAGGATCCAATGGGATTCCGCCTGCAGAGCACGCGACAGGCACAGAATAGTTGGTCAACAACTGTTAGGTCTTCTTGCAAACAGCATAGAGCAGAGCATATAGCAGGTGCTCATCCCACGATAGTTATTATTCTCATTACAACGCAAGAATTAAGATTCCCACTTGAAGGGATGAGAAACTCAGGGCTCAAAGAAGCGGCGGGACCGATTGAAGGTCCCAAGGCCTCGAGTGGCAGAATGGGAATCAGGGGCCCCCCGTCCTCTCTGGGATACCGCCTGGCCCCTAGGCCAGGGCCCCAGCATGCCCCCCCTCCCCAGAGTTCTCACCTGTGCTCTGTGTCTCCAGCAGCTTGTGCATGGAGCTGTAGGGCCCGGGCGGGATGTTGAGGCTGGTGAGCGTGGGGGGTCCAGAGGTGGGGGCCACCTCCACTAGTGCCTTCTCCTTCAGCATCTCTGGGGGAGGGCTGGTGTGCACAGTGGGGTACACCTTCCCGCTGCCCACAGTCCTGCCCGAGGCCTCAGATGGTGACCTGGGAGGGGGTGCCTGGCAGCGGACTGGCTCCAGGTGGCAGTCGGCATGGTAGAAGCTGTGCACAGACTCTGCGCCCCCCGGAGGGCCCCCGGAGAGGGCGGGCGTCGAGGGCGGTGGCAGCATGAGCCGGCGGGACCCACTGGCATCCCGGTCCTGAATCTCCGGGCTGGCCCGGGGGGCCCGCAGTGTCCCATTGCCCAGGTGGTAGTGGTGATGGTGATGGTGGTGATGGTGCACCAGGTGGTGGACGGATGGACGGCGGTGGGAGCGAGAGCAGCTCCCGCCGGGCTGGGGCTCCTGGCCTGCACGGGCCACTGGGCTGCTCAGCAGGCCGGCCCGCACGCCTACCGCCCGGGAGACCTGGGCCAGCCTGCGGGCCGCCTTCCGGAGGATGTACACCAGGTACTTGAGCAGCTCCTCGTAGCAGCTGCCTGGCTCGGAGAAACTGGCCAGGGTGCTCGCATTGGACAGGAACCGCACGCGCTGCTCCCGCATCAGCTGGCTTTCCCGCTGCTTGGTCTCTGAGAACTGCGTGGCGATCACCACCAGGCACAGGTTGATCATGAAGAAGGAGCCCACCTGTTGGGGTGGGGAGAGCAAGAGGAGATGTCCTGAAGAAAAGGGAACCGCAAGGCGAGGCACCGCATCCCCAGCACGTCCTACACGCCAGGCGCTGGGCTCAGTTACTGTCCAAGCATGATCTCATTTTATCCTCGTGACAGTCTCAAGAGGTGCTACTTTTATAGCCTCTGTCCGACAGGTGAGGAAACGGGCTCAGAGAGGTCAAGGCATTTGCCCAAGATCATTCAGCTAACGCACACGAAGCTGAGACTTGAACCAAGCTCTATGGAATTCCGAGGCATTGTTATTGATCGCGATGGTATCCTGCAAGGATTTCTCCCAGATTCCCTGCCCCTGACCATGGCCAGCCATGGAGATTCTGAGCACCCCTACCCAGTTCCCGTTAGGAGCGGAGAAGGCTGTAGAGATGAGTGCAATCTTGGGGACATGGGGTTCTCACGTTGGGTTGAGCCTTCGAGGTCTTGGCAAAAACACCGTTCCCAAGACCTCTGCATTTAGTCCCACTTCTAGCTGCACGCCCTGGGGTGAGACCCTCAGCCATGGGGCCTCACTATCCTCCTGATTGTTGGCCTTCTGTATCTTCTTTCCCTGCGCCTCTCCCCTCCCCAAGCCAGGTGATGGGCTGAACCCCGATCCCTACAGACTAGCCAAGCTGCCGCCCTGACTTGCCCATACTCCCTCATCCCTGTCCCCGTGCCTCAGTTTCTCCAGAACTCCCGGATGGCCATCACTGGGACAACAAACCAGAATGAAGGAAATGAATATTTATGGTGACAAAGCAGATTTTTTTTCTAGATTGTGTCCTAGTAATTATGATAATTAGCTTCACTAATATGATTCCAGAGAGCTGTTTGGAAGATTTTTCACGGGGTGTGTGGGTGGAAACTAGGCCCCTTACCACCCTGTCTGCTTCCTTCCCCTCCTCCAAGCCCAGGGAGAGAAGCATACTGAAAAGACCGTGCTTCCCAGAGATGCTGACTTTGCCACCCCCCAGGTGATGGTGGGGGACGGGAACAGGTCCCAAACCTGACCCGCTTCCACATGCAGGGGCAGGAGGGGGTGGCCTGGAGGACTGGTTCTTTCCGAGGACCCACCCTCTGCCTCTCGCCAAGAGCGGCCTTTGTCTGTCTCCACCTCTCTCCGGAGTTTGCCCTAGGTCCCGAGTAGATCTTAACCCCTGTCTTAATCTCTCTCTCTCTCAATATCTGTCCCTCTCTCTGGCTCTGTCACTGGCCTCTTGGTGACCTGGAGAAGGGCTGGACTTGGAGCGCATAGCCTGGGGTTGGAATTCTCGGCCCCGGCCACTTCCTCAGCCCAGTGACCGGACCCTCTGAAGCTCAGAGTTCTCCTTTAGGAGATGGGGCCACTTCCCTGCTGGCCTGCCCCACCGCCCAGGGGACTGTGAGGACTAAGCAGGCAGAAGATGTCACAGCGCACATCAACAACAACGCCTGCCCGGCCAGATCAATCCACGGCACACACGGAGCCCATGACGGGGTCAGACAAACGAGGAAACGTGGGTTTCCTCTCGGTAAAATGGAGATGATGATGCGATCGTGGTGAGGATTAAAGGCACCAGCACATAAAAAGTGCTGAGAGCAGGACTGGTGCATCGTAAGTGCTCAATAAATATTAGCTGTAAGTAGTAGCCGTTCAATTATGAACTAGGAATGGTAAGGATGACAACTATTAAACATTGCTTCTCTCGCCTCTGTCTTCTGCCCTCGTGAAGCCTTGGAGCTTCTGAGCTGGAAGGAACAAGAGGTCGTGCAGTGTTTCTCAACACTGAATGCCAGGGAGTCTGGGTGGCACAATTCTGTGTTTGCGGGACTGTCATGTCAGGA